TCTCAGCTTTTAGCTGAGATTGTACATTCATAATGGATGATTTTTTCTGACACATCAAGTAAACAATACACGTATTTTCTGTGCATAAAAAACGATGAATTGTAAACAATACAAGCATTGTAACAATCACAGAAACCAAACGACCCTAAGAACAACAAAAATAGAACACAACCAAACGACCCTAACAATCACTTGCACCCCTTCTTTTCAATGCAAAAAATAATTTCTAAGGATTAAAGTTGGAAGAAAACAATCTCAACTAGACAATATTAACAATCTCAGCTTTTAATTGAGATTGTACAGTCATTAAAAATGGATGATTGTTTCTGTCACATCAAGTAAACAATACATATATTGTCTGTGCATATAAAAACAGAAACGATGAATTGTAAACAATACAAACATTGTAACAATCACAACCAAACAATCACAGTAAATCAAACGACCCTAATAACGATAAAAATAGAACACAAACAATCACTTGTACCCCTTCTTTTCAATGCAAAAAATAATTTATAAAGGTTGAAGTTGGAAGAAAACAATCTCAACTAGACAATCCCTACAATCTTAACTTGTACAATCATTCATAATAGATGATTGTTTTTGTCACATCAAATAAACAATATATGTATTATCTGTACATAAATTGTAAACCATACAAACATTATAACAATCACAATCAACAATGACGGAAACCAAAGCACTTTAAGAACAACAACAATTTAGAACATAAAAGAAAAGGCTCCATTCGCCATTTCACCTACCTCTGCGGCTTGGAGGAGGAAACCCTGGTTCAGTGGTTCCTCATCTCAGCCCTTTTTTTTTTGTCATAGGTATAAGGAGGCAGAAGTACATATATATAGGGACAACATAAATACGATAGTCACTGCTAAGTGAACTATTGATTCAAGAGTCTTTTAAGCCACAATATGGGCAGCCCTGAACAACCTAAGCATAATAAACTAATAATACAGAGTAAACTAACAAATAAAGGAAGATAAGGAGATTCCCTTGTGAGTAGTTCGACCTGCAAAATGAATAAACACATAAACTGCTAAAACAGTTGAATTATCACAACTACGGAAAACAACTTTGCCAAAATTCTTGTTCATACAAAGGACCACCCGCTCCAAATAGCAAATTGGACGCGTCACCTGTGAAAGCTCAATTTAGAGTATCATACCAAAACACTTAAACACAAAGAGGATATGCATCCACGCCGAAACACCAAGGACGTAGTGGAACACGTGTCCATCAGCAACACCCCATGATGCACCTGCAAAGTCAACACACAAACAAACAAAAAACCCCATACAAGCAAGGTCATGGAAGAAGCCCAAACTCCTCTAAGTAGTTTCACCTGCAAAATGAAAAAACACAAACTGCAAAACCACTGAAATAGCACAAACCGAAAGAACGTCTACAGGGAATTTACAGAGTAGACATCCAAATAAAGAAAAATACAATAAACCCCCAAACAAAGTGAGGATGAAAATAATAGGAAAGAATAAAGACAAGTCACAAACAAGATATAACACCACTACTATAGTCAAACAATAAGTCGATTCTCGATTTAAGCGCCTTTTGAGCTACTATATGGGCAATCTTGTTCAACCTACGTGGGATAAACTTACATGAAAAGTAAGAAAAATAATATAGTAATAACCAAACCTCTTCTAACAGTGCTCCGCCAAGCATGTGCGAAGAAGTCTGGTCCATCACTCGACGAATAACCACCTGAGCATCCCCATAAACACTTACTAAAAATAAACCATGCAATAAACACCATTGCAAGGCCTCACGGAGCGCCATCAATTCAACCACAAAGATATCCTCAATACCCACAATATAACGTCCAAATGCAAATTGGAGTTGCATCCCATCTGCAAAACCAACAAAACCCACAGCCGCACCAACACCCCGCCTGAAAGCACCATCAAAATGGAGAAGTATACCAACTGGCATAGCTGGCTGTGGTAGCAAGGAAGGTACTGGTCTTGGCGTAGGCTGAGAAGAAGCATATGTCGCTCCCAAAAGAGAAGGAACTGAGGCAGCAACCCACTCTTCTACCTGGTGACTGAATTGACGATAGAGTGGACGAACCTGAAATAAAAAAAAATTCATGGACAATAAGGCACCTTGATTTCCATAACCGCCAGCACATGAAAACAACCCGAGCAACTTCCTGCAGAGACAAGTTTGAGAAGAAAAATAAAGCCTCCATGCTGGGACAAAATGTTCTCCTTCAAATAACAAAGGAATTGTGTCCATGGAAGCCATGTGCCAAAGCTCCTTCGCCACCCTACAATCAAAAAACAAATGACAAGCAGTCTCCGGAGAAATACAACATACAGGACAAGGAGCTTATGTGACCAAATGTCGATAACGAAGCTCATCCATCAAGGGAAGGAAATGACGAAGCATTCGCCAATGAAAAAATTTCAGTTTAGATGGCATAGGTAATGCCCACAGATACTTCCAAAAACGAAAATCAAACGAAGTGGGAAGGGGAGAAGGATTGGAGCTAGATTCTGCAAATGTTAGGCGATAACCAGATTTCACTGTATATTCTCCAGTAGGATCATAGTGCCAGATGAGTTTGTCTTCAATTGGATGTCCTGGTAGAGGAATTGAGAGAATAAGCTTAACAGTAGATACATCAAAGAGAACTTGCAACAAAGATAAGCACCATTCTCTTGTACCTTGACCAATCAAAGAAGAGACAAAAGGAGAAGGAGGATAACAACTTGGTAACAGCTTAGGACTAGAGGGAGGAGTGGTAGGCAGCCAGTTATCATCACTAACAAGTACTCCTTGCCACGCCCATGACGCCCGATAGCCAGCCCGGGCATGGAGAAGAGAAGTAGAAGGAAAATACCTGCCCTGATATGTCCGAGCAAGGAGAGAATCAGGCTGACGAAGCATCCTCCAAACTTGTTTAGCGAGCATGGCAACATTAAATTGCTCAAAATCCCGAAATCCTAGGCCATCGCCAAACTTGTTGTGACAAAGCGTCTTCCAGGACGTCCAATGAAAGCCATCATCATGGTCTTGATCAGCCCACCAAAACTTGGAAACATATCCATTCAATCGCCTGCAAGTAGAGAGTGGCAAAAAAAAAAAGTAAGACATAGCAAATAATGGGAGAGCAGCACACACAGATTTTACCAAAATCTCTTTACCTGCAAGTGATAAGGATTTAGAGCACCAATGATGTAATTTGGCCACAAGGACATCTTTTATGTACTGAAACGTAAGCTGTTTAGATCGATGTACCTGAGATGGAAGTCCAAGATAACGATCTTGTGGTCCAATAGTAGCAATTCCAAGAAGGGCAACAATAGTTTGGGCATCCGAGTCAGGAACATTGGAGCTGAAAGAGCATGTAGATTTCTGTAAATTTACTCTTTGACCACTTACAGCCTCATAAGCTTGCAACAATCCCAACAATTGGGTGCATTCCGGGACCGAAGCTCGAATAAAGACATAAGAGTCGTCCGCAAAAAAAAGATGGGAAAGCTGAGGACATTGAGGACTCATTCGAATCCCATGAAGAGAGCCCATAGCAACAGAGGAACTAATTAAGGATGAGAATGCCTGAGTGTAGATCGCAAATAAAAGTGGCGATAGTGAGTCTCCTTGTCGTAGGCCATGTTGAGGTCGAAAATAACCATGTGGAGTTCCATTGATGAGAACAGAAAAAGAAACCGTAGTGACGCACTCCTGAAGCCATTGAATCCAGCATGCACAAAAACCCAACTTCTCCATGACCGACCACAAGAAACTCCACTCAACACGATCATATGTTTTTTTCATATCTAATTTAAGCGCCATCCAACGATCTTGACCCCTCGATTTAAGCTTCAGAAAATGCAAAATTTCTTGCCTGTTATCAGTAATCAACCTCTCTTTGATGAAGCCATTATGCGAAGGACTGACAATCTTGGGTAAGCAATCACGGAGACGAAGGGTGAGGAGCTTCGCAATTAATTTATAAACTGTTTGTCTCAGCCCAATTTATTAGACCTTCAGCAGAGGCTCAAGATATGGTGAGTAACCTTAGGGTGAGTAACAATGAGTAACCAAATCTGGACCCTTCTTTTAAGTGACTGCAGATCTAAGGGTGCAAAATTAAAGAAATTTATTTTCCCTAGTTTTCTTAATTGGATCATATCTTCTTCATTCTAACTCGGATTTCAATTTTTTTTGCACAGATGGAAAGAGTTCGTTGTGCTCTACAAAATGATATCCATTTTCAATTTTTTTGAGAAATTTTTTTTCATCCCTCTCGCTACCAACTCCATACCATATGGTATGTCCTTCGTTGTTTAGTCATTTTCGGAAATTTTTGCACAAAAGGAACGATTTAATCATGATCTATTGGATTTCAAAATTTTCTGGGGAAATTTTTTTCAAACCTCTCGTTACCAACTCCATACCGTACTATACCACCCTGGTATGAGGTGGTATTTTTCATACCATATGGTATGTTGTTATTTAATACCATATGGTATTGACTATACCATATGGTATTGATAACTGGCAAATTTTTTTGTTCCAAAGAATATCAAAGTGGATATCATTTTGAAGAGCACAATTAATCTGATCTAATTGTGCAAAAAAAATAAATTTTCGAGTTAAAACGAGTGAGAAATTATCCGTTAAAGATTAAGGGAAAGAAAATGAATGATTTTTCCAGGAGAGAGAAAAAGGTGCTGATGTGGCAGATTCTTATTGAGTTATGCATGAAATTACTCACCACAAGGTTACTCACCGGATCTGCTCACTCTTCAGCCGACACTACTCGTAGACCTCATGGACCTCGGAAAATAGCCCAACTTTCCCCACCCGCAACATATCCCAAACGGCCCACTCGAATAAAGTGGTTCATATTTCCCCACCCGCAACATATCCCAAACGGCCCACTCGAATAAAGTGGTTCATATGAAAATTCAAGATAGCCTGGCCGCTGGCCGATTAAATTAAAAAATTAGACCGCCAAGAAAACAAATTCATTTCCGCCACGTATCCAAAAGCAACACCCCAGTTTCGATGTGGACCGTAGATCTTACCCTGCGAGGGCAGGTCTGGGCAACACTAGATCAACTCTCCGTTCTTCATGATTGACCCCGCAAGTGAAATCTAGTTGACAGAGCCCCCTAATAAGCGGAAGATCTCTGCCGGAAGCCAGACCTGCTCCTGCTCCGGACTTTGGTCGCTCTGTTTCTTCCTTTTTCCTTGTAATAGTTGAGGGAAGATTGAAGCCGGCGAAGATATAGCCAGGGATCGGAGCTGTAGCTGTGTGTGAAAATGGCGGGCTACGGGGATCCCAGTCAGAAAGTGGACTACGTCTTCAAAGTGGTGCTGATCGGAGACTCGGCCGTCGGGAAATCTCAGATACTCGCTAGATTCGCGAGGGACGAATTCAGTCTCGACTCCAAGGCCACAATCGGCGTTGAGTTCCAGACGAGGACCATGGTTATCCAGCACAAGAGCGTCAAGGCTCAGATCTGGGATACGGCCGGCCAAGAACGGTACTAAATTCTCTTTTTATCTTTATCCTTGTCGCGCGTATGTTCTAGCTGTCTTTTAAGCTTCATTTCGTTTGTGTTTAGGATTAGGTTTCCCGATTTGGCATCTTCATGGCTTGGGATCTGGTGGGTTTTGGAACTTGGTTTATTCTAGATTTTGATCTTTGGAGTAGTCGTTTAGCATAATATTAATCTAGTAAGTTTGTGGACGGTAGTGGAGTGATGGCAATCGTGGATTCGTATTTGGGCAAAACCCAGTATTTTGTCTGAGATTGAGATGAATTTGACCGCGTGGATTCAATTGAGGAAACTATATTGTGAAGTTACTCTGTATCAACTGCTTCATGATATTGAGCATCGATGGCTTGATTTGCCTGTTTAGCCACTCTTATTGCTCGATTTGTTGATTCTTGAAGGGGTTTTCTGGACTTCATATTATCATGAGCTGCACCTTCCGCTATGCCATGATCAGATTTCTGTTTTTCATTGATAGAACAAAATTCAAAGGAAGACAGAACCCTACATCTTGATATCATTAGCCTCTCCAAGCACTTCCTTAGGACTCTATGAACAACCTGGAAAGGTTTGGTTGATACCCTGAAATGTCATGTGCTTTGTTTTGTGTCATGTGAGACCTAGAAGGCTAGAATATGTGCCACCCAAGGCAGAGCTCTCAAAATCCTATCCATGGATGATTACTTTGATGTGTCGGTTTAATTTTCTTGTACCGAGAACTATAATACCCGTGCAGCTTGCAAAACTGGCAACTGCTCAATGATCCTTCTTTGCTTCGTGATCTGATCTATGCAGATACCGAGCTGTCACGAGTGCGTACTACAGGGGAGCCGTAGGGGCGATGCTGGTGTACGACATAACCAAGCGCCAAACCTTCGACCACATCCCACGCTGGCTGGAAGAGCTGCGGGGCCATGCCGACAAGAACATAGTCATCATTCTGATTGGGAATAAGTGTGATCTCGAGGATCAGCGCGCTGTATCCACGGAGGACGCCAAGGAGTTTGCCGAAAAGGAAGGCTTGTTCTTCCTGGAAACCTCGGCACTGAATGCAACCAACGTCGAGAGCGCCTTTGTGACTGTGTTGACCGAGATCTTCAACATCGTGAACAAGAAGAGCCTCGTGGCCGACGAGAGTCAGGGCAACGGTAACCCGGGGTCATTAGCTGGTAAGAAAATCGTTGTACCAGGCCCCGGACAAGAGATTCCGGTCAAGAGCAGCATGTGTTGCACCTCATCGTGAGAACGCTAACTAGTATTGTAATCGTGGAAGAGTTATTCGAAAGGGGTCTGGTGGTGGTTTTCTTGGATAGCAAAAGTTTTGGAAGCGTGTGATGTACTTGTTTTGTAAATTTCAGGTTTGGCCTATTGATTTGTACGGTAATTGAACATTTCGCCCTCCGACTGTGAGGCCTGAGCAGTTGTCTAGTGCTTGTTTGTGCGGTTGTGCTTTGATTGTCATATATGCATACATATTGCCGTTGGCATTTTTTCTCATCGGTTTCACTCTCTTCATGTGCCTATTACGGAGAAGTTTGTGCCCGCTTTGCCTCTTTTCATGGTATTACCATTATAGGAACATGTGTTCTGCCTCAGCCACTTCCTTGGGCCTGAATGGCCTCCACAGCAGTCTTCATTTTTCTCCTCCCCGAGAAATGTCAAAAAAGAAAACATAAGCAATCTTCATTCATCTTATACCTAGAATCTCCGACTTATACGACAAGTAGACTCTAATATCAAAAGATGCCAACTCTATCATAGACAAAGTAAAAGCTTTATTTGCCCTTCTATAGGTTGCCCACTTTACCACACGAGGAACTGCCCTACAATCTACATCTTAGGGGTTTATGAGACTGGCATAGATAATCCTGCAAAACTACCCACCTATGACATCAAACGATATGTCCTTCTCGAGCTGACGAATGACAATTTTAGAGAGGCGCCTTAGAACACTACCCTGGCAATATGTCAGTATGGTGCAAGGGAAACGGCGATCCGGGATGGAAGAAGCTCTGCAATATCGGGTTTTGAGATCCCAAAGTGAGGAAACCATGTCGTCAAAAGTGTGCACCTACCCGTTTCTCGAAAAACCAATCCAGAAGAGTAACCATCTTGTCAAACAGCAGTGTCAAAATTCATCTTCAGAAATCCGGGAGGAGGAAGGCACTAGACAACCAGAGGCCAAAAAGTTAAACTGCTCACAGGGTATTTTGTGAGTAGATACTCACTGACCCATGAGCTGAGAGGAGAGAGAAAAAACCCACTTTTTGGGCGAGCCGAGAATTTGGGCGGAGGAAGTGGGCGGGTTTTGGGCGGCCCGAAATTTTGGGCGGGAGGTGGGCAGATTTTTGGGGCGGCCGAAATTTTGGGCGGGAAACTTGGTTTTTGATGGAATAATCGGGTCTGGGCTTGCAGCCTAGGAAGGGCTGCCCGCCGAGGGCCCATGGGCCGAAGGCTCATAAAACAATTTTTTGGGCCGATATTGACATGACCTGACAGGATATGTTTTTGTAAAAGGACGAATATTGGTATGAGATTATGAGATATTAGTCTGGGTTTTACAGATATTTGTTGACATGTGTTGGCATAATATCAATTCCTAATTCCCTTAAGTTTTTTTTTACACTCGTTCAGTTATGCATTGTCATTAATAGTTGTCTTGTGCAGGGATGTTTGTAGGTTTTCGTCGTCGATGGTGTTTCTTATGGTTGAGAGATCAATTCGCAGTCGGGATGTTGACTACGCAAGCCAGCGAGTCGTGCAATGCACAAGTGCGACTTTTATTGAAAATGATTTGGACTTGTTTTTCATTCACTTTAGCAAGTACGCAAAATATTTCTTTGCCTTTCTTTAATATTAGTCTACTTAAATTTTGGATATTTGTCAGCTTTGTCCGGATATTTATATGCTATTGTTAAATATTACTTTGTTTAGTTGAGATATTAATATTGGTTTGAGTGGATATTAGTCTGGGCACTAAACTCTTTCTCGTGCTTTGTAAATGTAGTTTGTTGGCTGAAAAAAGACGCAAGGAGACTGAGTCAGACTACAATGGGAACAATCGGTTCCTTATAATATGATGGAGGATAGCCCGTTCCTACAACATGCGGCAAAGGTCTTTACTCCTAACATCTTCAATCGGATACAAAATCAGTATTTGAAAACTGAACCCTATCTAAAGGTCTTTACTCCTTGTGCACGTACTTGCGCTGCGACTTCAGCATCTTCTTTTTCCTCATCCTCCTCTGGCTGTGGCGGTGGTGACGGCGATGGATTTCGTCGATGTCTCTTCACGTTCGTATATCCCTGCACGTACAAATATCCAGATATATCAAACAATTATCCAAGCAATTCACAACAGATATCATGCTGGTTAAAAACCAATATCCAGATATATCAAACAATTATCCAGGGAAATCACAACTGATATCATGCTGACCAAAAACCAATATCCAGATATATCAAACAATTATCCAAGCAATTCACAACAGATATCATGCTGGTTAAAAACCAATATCCAGATATATCAAACAATTATCCAGGGAAATCACAACTGATATCATGCTGACCAAAAACCAATATCCAGATCAATTATTTGGGCCGATATTGACATGACCTGACAGGATATGTTTTTGTAAAAGGACGAATATTGGTATGACATTATGAGATACTAGTCTGGGTTTTACAGATATTTGTTGACATGTGTTGGCATAATATCAATTCCTAATTCCCTTAAGTTTTTTTTTTACACTCGTTCAGTTATGCATTGTCATTAATAGTTGTCTTGTGCAGGGATGTTTGTAGGTTTTCGTCGTCGATGGTGTTCCTTATGGTTGGATATTTGTCAGCGTTGTCCGGATATTTATATGCTATTGTTAAATATTACTTTGTTTAGTTGAGATATTAATATTGGTTTGAGTGGATATTAGTCTGGGCACTAAACTCTTTCTCGTGCTTTGTAAATGTAGTTTGTTGGCTGAAAAAAGACGCAAGGAGACTGAGTCAGACTACAATGGGAAACAATCGGTTCCTTATATTATTATGGAGGATAGCCCGTTCCTACAACATGCGGCAAAGGTCTTTACTCCTAACATCTTCAATCGGATACAAAATCAGTATTTGAAAACTGAACCCTATCTAAAGGTATTTACTCCTTGTGCACGTACTTGCGCTGCAACTTCAGCATCTTCTTTTTCCTCATCCTCCTCTGGCTGTGGCGGTGGTGACGCCGGTGGATTTCGTCGATGTCTCTTCACGTTCGTTTTATCCCTGCACGTACAAATATCCAGATATATCAAACAATTATCCAAGCAATTCACAACAGATATCATGCTGGTTAAAAACCAATATCCAGATATATCAAACAATTATCTAGGGAAATCACAACTGATATCATGCTGACCAAAAACCAATATCCAGATATATCAAACAATTATCCAAGCAATTCAAATCAGATATCATGCTGACCAAAAACCAATATCTAGATATATCAAACAATTATCCAGGGAAATCACAACAGATATCATGCTGACCAAAAACCAATATCCAGATACATCAAACAATTATCCAGGCAATTCACAACTGATATCATGATGATAAAAAACCAATATCCAGATATATCAAACAATTATCCAGGCAAGTCACAAATGATATCGTGCTGATCAAAAACCAATATTCAAATATATCAAACAATTATCCAGGCAAGTTACAAATGATATCATGCTGATAAAAAGCAATATCCAGATATATCAAACAATTATCCAGGCAAATCAGAACTCATATCATGTTGATTAAAAACCAATATCCATATATATCAAACAATTATCCAGGCAAGTCAGAACTCATATCATGCTGAGTAAAAACCAATATCCAGATATATCAAACAATTATCCAGGCAAGTTACAAATGATATCATGCTGATAAAAAGCAATATCCAGATATATCAAACAATTATCCAGGCAAGTCAGAACTCATATCATGTTGATTAAAAACCAATATCCATATATATCAAACAATTATCCAGGCAAGTCAGAACTCATATCATGCTGAGTAAAAACCAATATCCAGATATATCAAAGAAACAATCCAAGCAAAATACAATGGATATCCATAATCAAAATAAATCATATCGGAACGCACACAAAACAGGCGGTGGTGATGGCTGTCGTGGAGTCGGTCGACTGTTTCCTCTTGGTTGTTTTAGTCCTTGCCATTGATAAATCTCTGCACATACAAATACCCAGATCCTATCAAACAACTATCCAAGAAAGTCATAACTGATATCATGCTCAAACAAAACCAATATCAAGATACATTAAACAAGAACCCAGGCAATAAACAACGGATATCCAGAAGGAACATAATGCATATCTTGCCGAACAGAACTAATATCGGAAGGAACACAAAGCAAATCCACAAAACCCAGAAATAACATCCACAGAAGAACGAACTCATATCCAGTGACATATAAGATACCACAAAATAAATATTTCACCCACGAACCCAAAAGACAAATCCACAAATGGAAAACCCGATCGTAGCCATGAAACCCTAACTCAAATATGTCCAAACGAAAATGAATATTCATGAACAAAGTATAATTAAACCCAAAAGACAAATCCACAAAAGGAAAACCCGGATCAAGTCGTAGGCGTGAAACCCCGCCCTTCTTCGCCGCCGATTCGTCTGCAAAGTCGCCGCCGTCAACACAAGCTTCGTCGCTCGTCGCCGCCGATTCATTTGCAAAGTCGCCCCCGATTCTCGCCGCCGCTTTGCTCGCCGCCGCAACACTGGTTCGCCGCCGCTTCGCTTGCTTCTTCGTCGTTTTTGTGAGAGGAGGAAAGTGAGAGAGAGGGGAAAAGTGGGAGAGAGGGGAGTCAAAATGGTTCTGGGTTCTGGTGGAGAAACTAAATTGGGGAAAGTGGGAGAGATTTTTGAATTTTGAATTTGTGGGCCCGGTGGGCTTGGCCAGCCATGGGCTTGGCCAGCCGACCCAAACCGGCTCTCACCTTCATCAACCCAAACCAGCGCCATCTGAAACTTGCCCTCGTGGACAATAGATCCACCGTGTGAGTATCTACTCACACTTTATGCTGTGAGCAGCATAACCTTATTGACCAGAGGGGAGGAATGACAGATGATAAAGTAAGAGGGGAAGAGAGATGAGAAAGATTCTCGAACTAAAGATAAATTGGACGACTAGAACACTAAAGTGTTGTTGTGTGAACTCAAAACTAGGATGGCAATTTCGGCCTGACTTGTTTTACCCGGCTTGTTTGGCCTGTTTTGGGGCGGGGCGGGGCGGGCATGGGTACCTCTCATCGACCCGACCTGCCCTGACCGGTCCCATTCTCGACCCGTTCTTCCCTAAATTACAAGCAATCTTGGTCAAATTACTTACGATTTCCCTCTTATTACCTCATATTTTAGCTATAATAAAATTTTAAATAAGTGAAAACCTCAATTTCTCTAATAATTTAACTACATTTTATCATATTATGGTTTCTTTCTTGGTATTTTAATGAAAATAAAGAATATTTCTAATGCTTTTCACCTAAACTATATACCCATTGGGTCGACCTGCCCCGACCCTTGCCCCATGATAAAATACCCGACCTGTCACGGGACGAGTATGGGTATCGAGATACCCGCCCCGGACCTGCCCCATTGCCATTCCTACTCAAAACCATCTTATTACGAGATTTCCAAATCTTCTATAAAACACATACACATTAGAGAACTTGGAATTGAGAGGGACCAAAGGACAGGAAGCAACGCCACCAGAGACTGGAATTGGATCTTCGGGCCGACTGAAGAAACTCTTCCAACCCACTAATGACCATTGGCATGTAATGGATTAATGGCAACTATGGTGTAGAGGTCACTAAATTGGGGGGTCAATGCAATGGTCATCGTCTCCCGACCCCCTCCTAGCCACGTTCACCTACCCAATGTCACCACAACTAACTTCCATGACCAGGGGTGACGATTTACCGCCTCTAAACAGAATCTACCAATCCGCAAACAAGTTCTACAATTCAATGGTCATGCTGTGTCACAAGCATTATATAGATGAGCTCCTAGTTGGCATGGGATGACCACCATGTCCACCAACGAGGACTCCATATCGACTACTTAAGCTGTAGGCATTAATTCACATACAAGCAAGAAATAACCTAAGGCAACCTAGGGCTAGATCATGCTATACATTCATTCACACAAGTACACAACCAAATCAAGATAGAAGCATTAACAATCCTAGATAAACACAATATAAACATAAATAAACAGTACTCATTAATATACATATAAAACCTTATGTTAGGGTTTGGGGGCAAAGCCCCAAGTACCTTAAATTACTACTCCATGAATGAGGGAAGGAAAAACATGCAAAGAAAGGAAGAAATCATAAAAAAGTCTTCTCCTCGTCGGTAAAAATCCTTCTCCAACCTCCTCATTCTCTTCTTCTCTTCTTCCTCCACAAGACAATTATTTTCCTCTATGACCTCTCTCTATGATTTTAGAAATCTCAAAAGTCTGTTTGCAAAGAGGGGGCAACCCTCTATTAATAGGGAATAGTCTACACGGGAAAGATTGTTGGCAACTAATAAGAGATTGTGGTTGTGATCTTCTTCAGGTCGTGAACTCCAAACGGTGACGTGTTGGGCTGCTCTGGCGGTGAGATCATAGGCCGGACTTCACGGTCGTGTAAAGAAAGTCGTGTTTCTAATATAAAGGAATGCAAGGTAGATCGCAAGACCTTCTGTACTCCATATCTGCAACCCCAAGTACCTTAAATTACTACCCCATGAATGAGGGGAGGAAAACCATGCAAAGAAAGGAAGAAATCATAGAAAAGTCTTCTCCTCGTGGAGAAAAATCCTTCTCCAACCTCCTCCTTCTTCTCTTCTTCTCATCTTCCTCCACAATACAACTATTTTCCTCTATAACCTCTCTCTATGATTTTATAAATCCTAAAGTCTGCTTGCAAAGAGGGGGCATCCCTTTATTAATAGGGAATCGTCTGCACGTGAAAGATCACGGGAAACTAATGAGAGATTGTGGTTGTGATCTTCTTCATGTCGTGAACTCCAAACGGCGACGTGGTGGGCTGCTCTGGAAGTGAGAT